TCACTTGCAATTGCACGGCCTGGAGTTCTGCTAAGGATTGGCTCTTGCAGACGGCGGCGCACGTGGTGTTGCTCCAGGAGCACCACTTGCTCGCGCACCAGATCCCAGATGCTCAGCGCTGGGCCCTTAATCACGGTTGGAAATCGATCTTCGGGAGTGCTAAGGCTTCGTCAGACTCAGGCACTTCAGGAGGTGTGGCTATTCTAGCTCGTTCAGGTTTGGGCCTCCATTGGCCCCCAGGGGGTTATGTGGTGGAAGACTATCGTGCCGTTGCTGGGGTTGTTCATGTTGGGGACATTCCACCCATCCTGTGCATCTCCTGCTACCTGTCGTGCTGCGAGGGTTTGTCCGACAGGAATTTGGCCCTGCTGTCGAGGATCGGTTCGATTGCCAGCAGCAGTCTCAACAGCTTTGTGATCGGAGGCGATTTCAATATGGAGCCTTCGTTGCTAGACGACTCCAACTTCGTTCAACTATTAGAGGGCCAGGTGATCACGGCCGGTTTGTCCACTTGTCTTAGCTCAGCTGGTGGGAAGGTCTACGATTTTTTCGTGGTCTCTGGGGGCTTATCTAAAGGTGTCAGGGATACGTGGGTCGACAGGTATGCTCCGACATCCCCTCACTCGCCAGCGGGGGTCGATTTCCATGCCAGGTTAGCCGATCTTCGAGTCTTACAATTTAGGAAGCCTCCTCCTTTGCCTGTTGCAGTTCCTGTCGGGCCTGGACCTGCTCCTCAGGACTGGGATGCCACACTGGTTTTTGCTAATGGAGTGCTCGACTGTGCCCGTCGGGGGTCTCTGGACGCTCACTATGGGCTCACCGACTTGTATAAGCGATGGGCCAACCTTGCCGAAGCTGAGCTTGCCGACCAACTCCAGGTTAAGCTCCCTATAACCGGGTGTCGAGGCGAGATCCCCAAGGTTTGGTGGGTTCCTGTCTTGGGTCGTGACCAGCGTCCCGCTCGGCATCCTGAACTATTCGTGTGTAGATGGCTCTCGCAGAGTTTCAGGGATTGGACTACTTCTTGGAGGACCTTGCATGGTAAATGTTCGGGCGGGATCCCTATCCAGAGTGCCAAGAAGGTTCTGGAGTCCCCCTCGCCGTTCATTCAGAAGCATATGGGGTCTGGCGCTATCTTCGAGGCCCATCGTAGAGTCTTGGGTTTCATTGGGCAGGACGAGGTCACCTTGGAGGCCATAGGTAGCGTGTCCATCGAGTTAGCCGACTTGCTGGACTCGACCGCCAAGGCGGCTCGAGCTGCAGGAGAGCGGTCGTGGAAGGAGTGGCTTCTAAGGGACATCGACCAGGGTGGTGGCCGCAATGCCCATGCCTGGACGCGTCCTGTAGAGGCTTGGGTTCCCTCCACGACCCTCAGTGCTGCGGGCCAGGTGGTTTCTGATCCTCGTTCCCTTCTGCGCGCTGAAGGGGAACGCTTCCAGAAGCTATGGCTGGCCGAAACCGAATTGTTCGATTTTTTGGACCCCAAGCCTTATCGACCCTTGGAACACCTTCCTCTGGTGCCACCTGAGTGCTTGAGAGAGAAGAGCAGGGGGTACGCCAAGCGGTCAGCTGTGTCTGTTGATGGCTTTCACCTTCGGCATTACGCGCTGCTGTGCGACAAGGCCCTGCAAGTTGTCTCGTTGCTTTTCGCCATCATGGAGACGATGGCCGTCTTGCCTGAGCAGTTGCGTTTAGTCATGCTGGCTATGCTGGCCAAGCCGCCGGGCGGCCTCCGCCCCATTGGCATCTTCACCTCGCCCTACAGACTTTGGGGGAAGTGCAGGAGGAAGGAGGCGTTGGTGTGGGAGGAGGCTAACCAGCATGCGATGTTTGCTGCCTATGGTTTCAAGTCGGCCTCGGATGTGGTCTGGCGGCAGACTGCCAAGAGTGAAGCGGCTGTCCAGCAAGGCAGGTGCTCGGCGTCTCTCCTCTGGGACATGTATAAGTTCTATGAAACCATGGACCTTGAGGACCTCGCGACTAGATGTGATGAGTCGGATTTCCCGCAGGTGGTTTCCAGGCTTTGTATTACGGCCTATCGGGCCCCCAGGTACATTAACATCAGTGGGTTCATCCAGGGGCCGTTCCTGGCGATTCGTGGCGTCATTGCGGGATGCAGCATTGCTACTAGTTTCGTCAGGGTCTATTACATGAAAGCCTTTGTTAATGTCATGCTGCATCCTTCGTCCAGCCTGGATCTTTACATAGATGACCTGGGTCTGTCTGCTCAGGGTAGTTTTCATGAAGTTTATTCGGCCATCACCGTCGGGGCTGTGGGCTTGTTCAAGGCTGTGGAGGCCGATATCAAGTGCCAGGTCGCTCCTGACAAGGCGAGCCTCGTATGCAGTCAGCGGCGTCTTGGGGAAAATCTTCTGGCCTTCTTGGGTGTCTGGGCTGGCCCTGGGGGGGCCTCTTCGGCTGTCAACCTGGGGACTGACGATACCGCTGGGCTGCCTAGGAGGGTCAAGGGCCGTTGTAGGAAAGCGAAGCAGCGCCGCTCCACCTTCGACAAGCGTGTCAGCAGGATCAGCAAACAACGTCAGGTCCTGGGCCGTTCCGCTAAGAAGATTTTTACCAGTGGGGCTTTGGCGGGGATCAATTTCGGCTGCGAGATCCACGGGGTCAGCGACGCCGAGCTTGCCCACATCCGCCGCCAAGCAGGCAAGTGTCTCAGGCCGTCTTGCGGCGGCCGCAGCCTCTCTTCAGCTCTGGTTTGTGAGGACGACCCCACTTACTACGGGATGGTCGCACCTATCGTTCGGTGGGGGAAGGAGGTATGGGCGGCCCAGTATCATCAATACTTGGGGGGTATGTCTCATAAGGAGCTCAGGAGGTGCTGGTCGTCAGTTTTCGAGGGTAAGCTGCAGCCCAAGACGTGGCGATCTGTCGCTGGCCCGATCTCTGCCCTCTTCTTGTCAGTCAAGCGCATCGGTTGGTCCATGCCCAACTACGCCACTCTCGCCATGCATGACGGCACCTGTGTCTCTCTCACATTTGTCAGCCCAACCCTCTTGAAGGACATCCTCAGGCGGGCAGTGGTGAGGGGTATTGAAATGCATGTGGGTAGTAGCTTGAATGTTGGGTGGGATCGGGCTTGTTTCGACATTTGCAAGAGCCAGATGCGATCGAAGAAATTTACTGCACTGGAGAAGGGTTCGATCAGGAACCTTTGCTGCGGTGGGGCCTGGACCGCCGACAGAGCCGCAGAGGTGGGCTACCAGCTCAGTGACGTGCAGTTGCTCTGCCCTCTGTGTCGTGCTCATCCAGACTCTGTGCACCACAGGCTTTACGTGTGCCCCGCAGTGTCCGAGACTCGCAGCGAGCTTATCCCTCCAGAGATCCTAGAAGTTGCCCTGGGTCCGTTGTCGGATGGGGATCTCATCCTGTTCGATCGGGGGATCTTCGAGCATCCCGAATCGTTCTGGCCAAAGGCCCTTAGCTCGGGGGGTGGGGCCATTCTGCCAGCTGCTGAGGAAGAGGACTTCTCGGAGGCGCTCGCTAATGGGGACTTGCAGGGCAGCATCTATGTTGACGGGAGTTGTTTCTGGCATCCCATCTCGGAACTTTCAAGGGCGGGCTGGGGGGTTTGCATGGTCTCCCCCCAGGGCTCCCTCTTGTGCGCCTTGCATGGTCCTGTACATCACCCGATCAGCCAGACAGCACCAGCTGGGGAGTATTGTGCCCTTGCCATGGCTGCTCTCCATATTGTTGCTAATTCCGAAGTTTTTTCCGACTGCCTTGCGGTAGTTAATCATTTCCGCCTGCCCCCTAGCGAGCGTTTGTCGTTTAGGAGGCGATATGCTGGCCAGTTTCTGTACATCAATTCCCCTTTCGTCCAGTCCGTGGTGAAAGTGAAGGCCCACCAGGATGTGGACGAGGTCGGCATATCTGAGGTTGAGAGAATCCGTAGGGTAGGTAACGATTTTGCCGACAAAGCTGCACAGCGCGGCGCCCGCTCTCACCCCCAGCCGTCACCCGAGGAAGAAGAGCGGGTGTACCGCGCCGTCAAAATCAGTAAAGTCGTCTGCCGTCTCGCTGCCAAGTTGCTGCCGATGTGGCCACGCTTGAATCTCGAGGACGCTCCGCTGGTCACCCCTTGTCGCACCACCTGTGGTCCCGTGGAGCCCTCGGTCCTGCATCAGTGGCAGTGGCAGCACTCTGTGTGGAGATGCAGTGTGTGCAGGGTAGGTTCTCGTTCTTGCGCCATGCCGCCTGGCGGATCGTGCATCGGCAGAGCCAGTGCTGATCTTGACATCGCTGATTCTCTTTTTCACAGCGTTGTGGTCCTGCCGTGTACGGATGGTTCCGATTTCTTTTTCTGCCCCAAATGCGGGGGCTTTATGCACCAGGCTGTGTTTGCCACGACTGCTTTGTCCAAGGAGTGCCCCAATGTGCTGCGCGGCCATGGCCGCACTAATTTTAACAAAGTCATGCGTGGTCGCCACCCAAGGAAGAGCCTGGGGGTAGGCCGACCTGAAGAGCTGCCTGCAGGGGCGATTCCCGCCCTTGCGCCTCCCTCCTCCTCAACGCCCGTCCCCAACTTTTGATTCGGATTGTTCGAAATCTATGGTCTCAGAGCGCCTTCCCGCGTAGGGTCGTACTGTTTTTGGTTTTGTCCACTCGTCCCCTGCATGACCAGGGGTCGAGGATCCGTCCAGCCTGCTTTTGGTGCCGAGGCTCGGCCCAATATGGTTGCTCGTCGCACCGCCAATAGCGCGGAGTCAGTGCAACAGGCTGCGATTTTTCCCTCGGCTCCCTCCAACGAGAGTGGGGCGAGGGGCCGCCGCTGTTTCCACGGCACTGCGGGACTGGCAGCCGTCTAGGCGTGAGTCCCCCCGCAGTTGCCGTGACGTCAGCGGCGGGGCAGGGTCGGTGGCGAAAGTGGCAGTAGGCGCCACCCAGCCCTGCCCCCACCTCTGGGGGGAGGCGCCGTCCCCCCAGGGAGTATGTCTTGGCAGTTGTGGATGTCAAACAAAAACCCCACCAGAACTCCAGCCGGCCCGTCCTCCGCCGAGCGGCGCTGCTGCAGCCTGCGCTGCGGCGGTCGGGGGGAGCCTGGGGCGGTTGGGGTGCCAGGGCAATGTGCGCGCCGCGCCTGCCCTCCGCTCGCCCAGCGAGGGAGGAGGAGGAGGAGGAGGAGGAGGAGGAGGAGGAGGAGGAGGAGGAGGAGGAGGAGGAGGAGGAGGAGGAGGAGGAGGAGGAGGAGGAGGGAGGAGGAGGAGGAGGAGGAGGAGGAGGAGGAGGAGGAGGAGGAGGAGACGGAGGAGGAGGAGGAGGAGGAGGAAGAGGAGGCGGAGGCGGAGGAAGAGGCGGAGGAGGCGGAGGCGGAGGAGGATGAGGATGTGAAGGAGATGGAGGATGTGAAGGAGGAGGAGCAGGGAGGCCGAGGATGAAGACGAGGAGGAAGATGGGGGAGATGAAGGGGAGGAGGAGAGATGAGGAGGAGCAGGAGGAAGCGGCGTAGGATGGGCAGGAGAGAAGAGGCCAGTGGAGGAGGAGGAGGACGAGAGAGGAGAGAGGCAAAGCCAGCTAGGCACGCTTGCGCCACATATGATATCCTACCCCTGCCACCCATGCCTTCCTATTGCGTTGAGTCCGTTTCTATCCGCCGACGGGGGTGTCTTCGAGGTCCTTGACCCCGAACTGGCAGTTGCAGGTTTGGGCCCATCGCTTAGTGCATAATCAGACAGGGGAATTTCTTTCTCGGAGGAGGAGGAAAGGGGAGAAAGGAGGATAGGAGGAGGTGGAAGAGGATGATGACGAGGTGGCTGATGAACAGGATGAGGAAGGAGAAGGAGAAGGAGAAGGAGAAGGAGGACACGAGGAAGGCGGGGGAGGGGAAAGGAGTGGGATGGAAACAGCGAGTAAGGAATCAGATCTAGAAATGTGGCCCGCGATGAGGCGAGCGCTCCATCATAAACGACGGGAACCAAACACAGATCCAGAACCGTAGCCAATTTTGCAACTGACATGTCATTTTGACGGACCAAGGACGCCCCGATAAAACATGTACGCAGGAACAGCAAGGAAGGAAATCCTGTGACAAAACGATACGCGTGAGAAGAGCCCGAGAACCACTGCACACTATCAAGGGAGAAGAGTGATTGGAGAGGAGGAACATCTAGGCTTTCGAAAAAGATCGACATAGTTCTGGGGGTCCCTGGGGCGTCCAGAGCAGATTTAATGGGAGGCAGACGAGTTGGGGAGGAGGGCAAGGATGAGCGGCCTAGGTAGACAATGTTTGCTTTGAGCGAACCTCACCCTTCCATCAGCCCCACAGCGTCGTAAAATAGCCATGGCGTGATGGAGGAATCACGACAAGAATCCTCGACACCATGTTTTTGCTGAAGACTTACAGAGCCGCATCGATGACTGAAGGTCCACGGGGCCTGATGCGGTGCGAAAGGGCCTGTTGTTTGGCATGACGCCTGGAGGTGAGCATTCTCCTCCTCCTCCTCCTCCTCCTAATCGGCCTCTAGACGTGTCTCCGAGTGGGCCCTGACCAGAATGTCGAGGCAGATCTAGACGTCATGATGCGGACCGCCCCAGAGGCCCCGCAGTGGCAAACATATATACATCCTACTCCACCCTTCCAACAGATCCTCTCCCTGAGCGAAGACCATTGACCTCATGATTGTATAAGCGATGCTGCCCACAGGAGTTCTCGACCTCATCATCAAGCCCTGCTTCTCTTCTCTGGTCGTTTTTGCTGGCACCTGAGCCCACAGACGACCCCCCCACAAGCCCAAATGCTGAACAACTGGCCGTCGTGATTTTTGCTTGCGATTTCTGAAGGTCTGCGGGTTGAGGCTTGGGCCTCGAGAACTTATTACCCCCCAACCACGCGAAACCTCCTGGACGCAGGCCCTCTCCTCCAGCAGGAAGAACCCTCGTAGAGCAGGAGGAGGAAAAGGCCCTCCCTTCCTTCTCCTCGTCTTCCCCCGCCCTTTCCTTGTAAACAACTCCCACTGCCGCACCACCACAACCACCACACGTGTGTATAGGCAGGGCCCGGCATTTTGCTTAAGACATCCTTGCAACTTACGACCCTGAAAACCTAGGACTCAACATATTACCAAGATGGATGGATGGCCGTTTTCAAACTGCGGCTCTTACCTCAGCGCCGCAAACATTCGCTATACAGGCTGGCGGCAGCTACAACGATGAAGGGCGGGTCGTTTTCAAAATGCGGCTCTCGCCTGAACGCCGCGGGTATCCGCTGTTTTCACCGGAACCCAAGAATTGCACACAAGGAGCAGGGGGTCAAAATAAGGTTACTGTATGAGAGCCGCGCAAATTCGCCATAACATACAGCAGCAGCTACAATGATGGAGACTATTTCGTTGTCTAAAAGCAGCTCTCGCCATAGCACCGCGCACAGCCGTTTCACAAGTGAGCAACTGCTTTGGGGATGACGGGCAGTTCCTGTTCAACATGGGATCCGTGCTTGATGCTTCATGGGAACTGACGATCAGAAACGCGTGCACCATATATGTATACACACATACATACAGACATACATGCATATCCGGCACCGTGCCGCTGGGCATGGAATGAGCGTGTCTTCAGGTCCTGCGCCCAATCCATTGAGCCTCAGTCCTCGACGCTAGGATTCTTAAGGGGCCGGGGCCCAGACCCCAATTGCTGGAGTGACACGCGTTGGATTAGCGGAGCGCCACTCCGCTTATTGGCCTCAGAGCATACGAGCCGACGTCGCCTGCCTCGCTTCCAGTAGTGGAGCGTCGTTCCGCGAATTGGTTTCAAACCAACGGCGTCAAGCCAATTCTCGGAGAGCCGCTCCGCTAAGTGGCTTCGAGTCAGGGTATTACGATAGCGCTGCTCCCAATAGCGGACTACCGCTCTGCTACTCGGCCTCGAACCAGAAGGTTGTGATTGTTCCGTTTCCATTAGCGGAGCGCCGCTCCGCTAAGTGGTCTCCAATCAAAGAGCTACGATTACTTAGCTTCAACTTTGCCCCAAACCAAAGGGATTTACTAATGCTTCGCTCCCATGTGCGAGGCGGCGTTACGAAAATTGGCCAAACACAAAAGGGTGTTGGGTGCGTTGGTCACATTCGCGGAGCGGCGCTCCGATTGCTTCGCTCCAGTTGGCGAGGCGCCGCTCCGCTAATTGGCCTCAAACCAGGGGGTTCTAAACCTCCTCGCTCCAATTAGCAGAACGGCGCTCCGCTAATTGGCCTCGAACCATGGGATTGCCAGATTGCTGCCATCCCATTAGTGCCGCTCCGCTACGTGGCTTCAGAGAATTACGATTGCTTCGCCCCAATTGGCGGAGCGCTGCTCCGCGAATCGGCCTCAGACGAGGGGGGCTAGGATTGTTTCGCTCCCACTCGCGAAGCACAGCTCCGCGGGCTCGAACGCAGGGATTGCACTTGCTTCGCTCCCATTAGTGGAGCGCCGCTCCGCTAAGTGGCGTCCAACCAGAGACTTACGACTGCACTCTCTCATTAACGGGGCGTTGCTTCACTCATTGGCACCAAACGAAGGGATTACAACCTTCACACCTGACCCCAGGGCGTGTCGCGGCTTGTAGGGGGGTCCCCGCGGTTTGTCGCATAATTTCTGACGTCCAAAATCTCCAAGACGGTCTAAGGGGCTCTCAAGAGGCCCCCGAGACGGTCCAAGAGGTCCCCAAACTGCCCCCAAGAGGCCCCTGAGAGCGCTCCGAAAAGACCTGAATATAAGCTCGTGTGAAAACACTGACCCACAAACCAGGCACGGCGGCGGGATGGGCCGGAGCCAATTAGATATACATGTAGAGAAAGAAAGGAAGAGAGAGAGAGAGGGAGGGACAGACAAAGAAAGAAAGAGAGAGAGAGAGAGAAACAGAGAGAGAGAAAGAAAGAGAAAGAAGAAGGAAACACAAATGGAGAAAGAAAAAGAGAGAGAGAGAGAGAGAGAGACAGTGAGAGAGAGAAGAAACAAAAGTACGACATAGAGATAGAGAAGGAGAGATAGGCAGACATACAGACATACAGACATGACGATGTATACGTGTATATATATATATGTATATGTGTATCTACATGTATACATATATATAAACATTTATATGTATATGTATGCACATATATATATATATATGTATATATCTATATATATATATGCACGCTTATGTATACGTACTAGAGCCATCGCGCGCTTCGCGCGCGCTCAAGTTCTAGCTAGGCATGATAGACTTCAACCGACGGCCCCCGGCAATGTTCGCATCCGATCCACCCGAGTCGGCACACCCCTGACACGGGTCTTGGCTCACAAGAAGATCCACCTACGGCCCCATAGAGAAGGTTCGCATGGCATCTTGGATGCCTCTCTCGCCGGCGCATTAGAACCAAGTTATGAGCCTCTTGGGCGCCTCTTGGAGGCCTCCTGGGTGCGTCTCTTGGGGTGCTTTGGGGGGCCTCTTGGGGCCTCTGGGGGGCCTATCGGCGCCTCCTGGGGGCTCTTGGGACCGAAAGCTCGGAAATCGAAAGTGGCTGTCTTCTTCTGGGACCCCTCTCGGGCGCTTCTTGGGCTTCTCTTGGGCCGTCTTGGGGGCCGATTGGGCCGTCCTGCGTTTCTGGTAGGCCGTCTTGGAGATTTCTTGGGGGCCTCCTAGGCCGTTTTGGGGGGCCTCTTGGGCCGTCTTGGACGCGGCGACAGCCCAAGAGGCGAGCATGCGAAAAATATACGTTTTCCCATAGGAATGGAAGGATTTTAGTTTCTTGGGACTCTCTTGGGGTGCCTCTTGGAGCATCTTGGGGTGCTTTGGGGGGCCTGCTTGGGGCCTCTTGGGGGCGTATCGGCGCCTCCTGGGATCTCTTGGGGCCGAAAGCTCGGAATTCGAGAGTGGCTTTCTTCTTTCTCTGGGACTCCTCTCGGGCGCGTCTTGGGGCTTTGGGCCGTCTTGGGGGCCCATTGGGCCGTCCTGGGCTTCTCGTGGCCCGTCGTGGAGCTCTTTTGGGGGCCTCCTAGGCCCTAGGCCGTCTTGGGAACCCCTTGGGCCGTCTTGGACGCGATGACAGCCCAACAGGCGAACATACGAACAATATACATTTTCCCACAGGAATGGGACGATTTTTGCTTCTTGGAGCTCTCTTGGGGTGCCTCTTGGAGCGTCTTGGGGTGCTTTTAGGAGCCTTCCGGGCGCTTCTTGGGGGCTTCTCGGCGCCTCCTGGAGCCACTTGGGGTCGAAAGCTTGGAATTCGATGGTGGCTTTCCTCCTCTGGGGCCCTCTTGGGCCCGTCTTGGGGACTCTCTTGGGCCGTCTTGGGCCCTTCGTGGGCCGTCCTGGAGCTTTCTGGGGCTGTGTTGGGGCCCTCTGGGGCGCGTCCTAGGCCGTATTGGGGCGGTCTTGGGAGCTTCTGAGGTCGTCAAGCACGGACCGACAGCGAAAACAAGCAATATGTTAACATATACGTTTTACAAAGGGAATGGGGCTATTTTGGCCCCTTGGGGCTCTCTTTGGGGCCCTATTGGGGGTCGCTTGGGGTGTCTTGGGGGCTTCTGAAGCCGCCTTGGAGGCCATGTGGGCGTCTGGGAGCGACCTTCGGGCGTCCCGGGTCTGTTCTGGAGCCTCTTGGGGCCTCCTTGACGCCTTCCGGCGGCCTTCTGTGAGGCCCCGGGGCTCCCCGAGGGCCCCAGAGCCCACATTTGCGGTAGCGGCGCCGGCCCCAGGCGCCCGGACCCGGTGCGCCGTTATATGTATAAATATATACACGCATGCATACATACAAGCATACATAGATACACACACACAGACAGACAGACAGACAGACAGACAGACAGACAGACAGACAGACAGACAGACAGACAGACAGACAGACAGACAGACAGACAGACAGACAGACAGACAGACAGACAGACAGACAGACAGACAGAGAGACGGACCGACAGACACACAGACAAGCAGACAGACAGACAGACAGACAGACAGACAGACAGACAGACAGACAGACATAGACACCCGCGTGTGCAAACACAACAACTACACGGATGGAGGGTGGTTCCTTACAAGGGTCTCGCAGGAGGCTTTCTCAAATCTCATGAGCAGAAATGTAGCTTTGCGCAACGGTTACACAGGGGGGGGGGGCCGTTTCAAATCAGAGCTCTCGCCTGAAGTGCAGACACATAAATAATGCTCGTCGTTCAAGGGAGTTGCATCCCCCAGTGAACGGGATTGCTGGTAGGTACGTCCGAGGAGGGGACTTGGAACTAGTGCTGAAACGAGTGTATCTTGCAACACCGTTGATGCAACCCTGGTCACCTCTGGACAGACAGACAGACGTACTCCCTGCTCCTTCTACGACCATCCCGCTCCTCCTCGCCCTTTATCCCTCCTCCTTTTCCCCCTTGCACCAGCCCGTCGCAGATCCACATCGCTACCTCATCAGCCCCTCCTCCTCCCCCCTCTCCTAGGGGAACGAAGAATGACATAAACATAACAACTCGGAGGTCCGCGCGGATTTCTCGGATCTGCGCTGGACCCCCTCCCTGGCGCGCGGAGCGAGCCAGGGGCTGCGCCGGAGGCGCCGCCAGGGGGCCCCAGCGCGGACCCGAGAAATCCGCGCGGACCTCCGAGTTTTATGTTTATGTCATTCTTTGTTCCCCTAGCCATGGATCTTCAACACCATGCTATGCCATGCGTAATGCTTTGCCCTGCTACGACATCCGACTGTGCGAACAGAGAGGAGATCTACGCCACGGTAAGGGATGGGATGCAGGGGTAGGGCGTCCGATGTGACGCGAGCGCCCTTAGCTTGTCCTTCCCCCCTCTCGCCCTCCTCGCCGTTCTTCGCCGCCGGGAGCCGGTTTCCGCCTCGCGCAGCGTCCTCCGCCCGCGCGGGGGCGTCGCCCCCTGCTGTGCGGCCCCCGCCTCCCCTGAGCCCAGCGGGGAGTCCTGGGCGGACGGCACCTCCGGGCAGGGCGGGCCAGGCCGCGCGGAGTACGTGCCGGCGACGGCGGCGACGACCACGACTTCGTCCACCTCCTCCCTCGAGCCTCTCCTCCCTGCTCCCTCCTCCCTGCTCCCTCGAGCCTCTCCTCCCTCGCCCTTCCCCTTCATGAGCCCTCGCTCCTCTCCCTGCCCTCCCTGGCTCTCCCTGTCACACCTGTCCTGCTGATCATCCTCCCTCTCCTCCTCGTCATCATCAGTACGTCGACGGAAGGACCCCACATGATAATCTGTTCAGTGCGCGCGAGGTTCATCACCAGGCCCGATTAACAATGGTGAAGATGGCAAGACGCCAGGGTACCAGGATGCGACCTGGGAGGCCGTTGAGACTTGTGGGGCCCGTGGGGCCTATGTGGCATGTGAGACCTCCGAGGCCTGTGGGACATGCGCGACATGTGGGACCTGTGCGACCTGCGTGGCCTGTGCGACCTGTGGGGCCTGTGGGACCTGCCAGACCTGTGGGACATGGGGGACCTGCGGGCCCTGTAGGACCTGTGGGCCTGTGGGGCCCCTGGAACTTGTGGGACTTGTGGGGCCTGTAGGACCTGCGAGACCTGTCGGGCCCATGGGACCTGTACAGCCTGTGGGGCATGTTGGGCCTGTGGGGCCTCCGGGACCTGTGGGACGTGCGAGCCCTGTAGGACGTGTGGACCTGTGGGACCCGCGGGGCCTGTTGGACCTGCGGGGCCTGGGACCTGTGGGACCTGTGGTGCAGATGGGGCCCGGGAGACCTGTGAGACTGTGAGGCCCGTGGGGCCCGTGCGACCTGTGCTGCCTCTGAGGCCCGTGGGCCCTGTGTGTCCGGTGCGGGGCCCGTGGGTCTTGCTCGGCCTGCGGGACCTGTGGGACCCGTGTAACCTGTGCGCCCCCGGCTCCCGCTCGAGAGTCCCTCGGCGCTCGCTCACGGGCGCGGCTCCTGCTCGGGACTTCCTCCACATTCAGGCCTGACGAACCAAAAACGAAAAAAAGGCGGCGGGGATTCGAAGATGGGGGCGGTGACTCCAGGGGAAGGGGGGCGCCTGCTCGAGACGTCCTTCTGGTCCACTCGCAGACGAGGCTCCTGCTCGAGACTTCTTCCGCATTCACGCCTGAGGAGCCCACGGGTGACGACAGTTATTTTACGTTTCAGGATGACCCGCTCGGGTCCGAAAAAGGACGTGTGGGACCCCAGATCAGAGGGGGCGGGCTCCAGCTCGAGACTTCCTCGCGATCACTCACAGACGCAGCTCCCGCTTGATACTTCTTCCATGCTCAAGCCTGAAGGGCCCAACAGCGAGGACAATTTCAAATGTTAAGATGACCCGCGCGGATTACTAACACGAGCTGCGGGCCCCGTAGGGAGGGGGTTCCTGCTTGAGACTACCTCACAATTCACTCTCAGACGAGGCTCCCGCTTGATACTTCCTCCATGTTTCATTGCACCGACCTTGCAGACGTGCTGCAGCGGATTATCGCGAGGATTCCTGTCAATGCAGAACTCCGAAACGGCGAGCGAAAAACGAGGTGAATTTCACGTGGATGTTTTGTAATCTTCATTCCTGGCCCAACCGAAAATCCGCCCGAAACGAAATCCGGAACGAAATAGTCCAGGATAATCCGTGCCCATCCCATTGTTTTCCGAACGAAATCCGCTCTGCGACGTGGGCGCCCCGACATGTTCAAGCATGAGGAGCCCAGAAGACAGGACATTTACAAGTCTAAGGACGACCAGCTTGGATTACTAACAAAAGCTGCTGGCTCCGTAGAGAGAGAGAGAGAGAGAGGCTGCTGCTCGCTTGAGACTTCCTTGCGATTCTGTCACAGACGAGGCTCCTGCTTGATACTTCCACCATACTCAAGCCTGGGGACCCCAACAATGAAGACACTTACAAATTGTACTATGATCCGCTCGGATTCCTACTATGAGCTGCGGGCCCCTCAGGAAGGGGGCTCCCGCCTGCGACTTCCTCCGATTCACTCACAGACGCAGCTCCCGCTTGGTACTTCCTCCACAACTGTTCAAGCCTGAGGAGCCCACAATAATAGACACTTACAAATTTAAGGAAGACCCGCTTGGATTACTAACGAAAGCTGCGGGCCCCGCAGGGAAGGGGCTCCCGCTTGAGACTTCCTCGCAATCCACTCACAGACAAGGCTCCCGCTTGATACTTCCACCATGTTTCAAGCCTGAGGGCCCCCAGAATTACGACAACTAATAGTTTTAGGATGGCTCGCTCGGGTTATGACCAGGCGATGCGGGCCCCATAGGGAGGGGGCTCCCATCTGAAACTTCCTCGTACTTCACTTACAGGCGAATGTCCCGCTGGATACTTCCCTCACACTCCAGCCTGAGGAGCCCGAAGGTGACGACAATTACAATGTTTGGATGACCCGCTCGGATTACTAACATGAGCTGCGGTCCCCACAAGGCAAGGGCTCCCGCCTGAGACCTCCTCGCAATTCACTCAGAGACGAGGCTCCCGCTTGATATTTCCTACATGTTTACGCATGAGGACCCCCAAAGTGACAACACTTACAAAATGAAGAACGACCCGCTGTGGTTTTCAGAACGCGGGTGGTTTTCAGAACGCGGATGTCGCCCTTAGCGCACCGTACATAAATGTCCCATATTTACAAGGATGGGGGGGCGGGCCATGCCCAACATGTGGCTCTCGCCTTAGCTCCTCACACATTCGCCTGAAAGCTTCCAACATGTACGAATATGCAAGGCGACACTGTTCCACAATGCAACTATCGCCACGAAAACGCGCACATCCATCTTAAACATTTCCAACAACGTCCCGGATGCATGGCTGTCAAAATGAGGCTCTCAGACACCGCGAGCGTTCGCCTGCAGAACTTCCATCGGGTACGAGAATGGAGAACGATATGTTTTGCTCTGGCCGTAGAACCGCGCACATCCATCTTAACACCTTTAACACCGTAGAACCAATACAGGGATGAGGGGCAATTCCGTTACAGAGTGTGGCTCTCGCCTTGGCGCCGTGCTTATTCGCCATCAGCAGTTCCAACAGGTACGGAGATGAATGGCGCCTCATTTACAGAAAAACGGGGATCCCACCTGAGAACTCCAGCACACCATATGGCGAGAAGTGTACCGCATTATCCAACAGTGTCACGGGCGCAGGGCGGAGTGGTTTCGAAATGGAGCTCGCGCTTGCGAGGTCCGCAAACATGAATGGCAAACCTGCAAACCTGTGCAGCACTTGCACGGCGGGAAGGTGGCTGCTTTTCGACACGGGGCTCTCACCGGACCCTTCCTTGAACTTTGTGGTCCTACCCGTTCGCGCCGACTGTAGCTAGAATGTGGTCGGGCATGTCGTACAGGCGGACTTTGGAGGAAAGATCAAACATAGTCCAAGCAGATTCTAAACATCATCAAAACTAATCAGAAGTCGTCGTCCGACTATGTTTTGACTATTTGGGAAATCTCATCTCTCCTGTAGAGGGACAGACAGGCCCGGCGTAAACCCAGAAGGGCGCAACTGCTTTGCAGCACGGGGGGTCCGGCCAGAATTGAAGGGGCCCTGGGACACACAAATGAATGCACACAAATGAAAAGAGTCCCCATGTTTTCCCATATTTCCTTGGCTTCTGTCTTCCCCCCCACTTCCCATATTTTCCTATCTTTTCCTGGGGGTGGACGATTCGTTGTGTCTGTGTGCCTCTTCCCCTCCTGAAGAGTGGCAGACCCGTGGGGCGCCGGTGTTTTCGAGGGCGCGACCCCCGCGCGGAGACGGGAACGTTCGCACTGGGCCTTCCGAGGAGGGGCTTCGGGACGAGGGGGTGCGTCGCGGCACCGTTGGTGCATCCTGGGCTGGCCTCTGATCCCCTCCTCCAGCTCCTCCTCCTCCCCCTCCAGCTCCTCCTCCTCCTCCTCCTGCTCCTCCTCCTCCTCCTCCTCCTCCTCCTCCTCCTGCTCCTCCTCCTCCTCCGCCGAATTATCCTTCTCGCTCTCCTTCTCCCCTCCTGCTCTCTTCAAGACCCTTCTATAGAGGGCAAAGCATCCACCCCCATAAGAACCACCCCGAGAAGCGAGGCTGTTTAGTAAATGCACCCAAAAAATGAATCGAACAGGGCAAGGCTGTTGAATAGACGCCCAGGGCCGTCTGGTAGACGCCAAGTCTAGGTCCGGCTGGTTTGTCCGCCCGTGATTCTACGAGGCCCTATGCATTCTTGGGCGCCCGTCCCTCTCACCTCGCGTCCCCACCGAAATCCGCTCTCAGCTGAAACCCGGACCCCTCCCGGGTCATGCTGTGGCTCGTTTGTTCGAGCTGCGTTCGGCCGTGACGACACGGGGAGGGGAGGGGCAAAGCCAGAACAAGAGCACGAGAACGAGGAGGAGAAGGACGAAGAGGAGCCGCCCGCCTTTGCTCCTCATACGAGAGCGCCATGCGAGAGCGCCATGGAGGAGGGTTTGAGAGCGACACGCGAGAGCGCCACACGTGCCAGCCAGGCCGCGCCTCAATGCAAAAGGCTCGGGTGGCGCCGCCGATGTAACCAAACATCGCGCTGCGCGCCCCGCGCTGCGCGACACTCGGTTGACTTCGCGCACCGGCGGCGCCGCCCTGCAGAGTGGGCACCTCCGTGGCCTTGGCCGCGAGGCGCAAGGCGCGGTGACCTACTGTACGTCGACAAAATGTTGCACCACTTTTGCCGCGCATTGTCAGCTATATTGCATTGCTCCTCCCCCCCCTCTCCCTGATCTTAATATTGGGCACATGGCGAAGGTCCCTTGGCGCCCCCCCCAGGGCTCGCGACAGAATGTTGCACCACCGAGCCGTTTCGATGAACCCGGGACCGCAGCCAATGTTAAGATTGGGGGGAGGGGGGGGTGGAAGCGAACATCCATTGCACAATCGCCTTGCTTTCTTCACAACACCAGGTGGTGCAACATTTTGTCGATGTACCGTACGCGCCCGCGTGAAGGGTGTGTGCTTTGCCGGGGGCGCCTCCTCGCCGGACAGCTCGAGCAGCCACCGCGACAGCCTCCGGGGAGAACTCCTGCCGGTCAGCCAGACGTCCAGGGACGGCCATCATAGGAGGCATCGGGGGGGGGAAGGGGGGAAGGAGGGGCGGGAGGAGGGGGGAAGAAGGAGGGAGGAAGGGGGGAGGGAGGGGTGCGGGAGGGCTGGGAAGGGGGAGGAAGGCGGGAGGAAGGAGGTGAGAAGGGGAGAGGGGATGCCATTGCAGCTCTGCTTGCTGATGGATTTCGCGTCTCCTTCTCTTCCTCGTCCTTCTCCAGCCCCGTCTCCACCATCCTCCTCCTCCTCCCATTACATTTTCCCTCCTGCCTGAATATTTTCCTCCTCCTCCTTCTCCTCCTCCTCCTCCTCCTCCCCCTTTCTTCCGTCGCTCGGGACGAGAGGGTGTGTTGCGGCACTGTTGGTGCATCCTGGGCTGGCCTCTGATCCCCCTCCTCCAGCTCCTCCTCCTCCTCCTCCTCCTCCTCCTCCTCCTCCTCCTCCTCCTCCTCCTCCTCCCCCTCCTCTTCCCCTCCCCTCCGATGCTGCTTCTCCCCGCCCCCCCTCCCCACCCAATCCTCCTCTGCCTCCTCTTCCTCCTCCTCTGCATTCGCTCCTCCTCCTCCCCACCCCCTCCTCCCCTCTGCACCTCGCTCTCCGTCCCGCCCCCATCCGCTTCCCGCTTCTTCCGTCCCCTCGCACTACGCCTCCCCTCTTCGGCGTTGCTTCAATGGAAGGGCGATACACGAGGGGGCGAAGAAACGTGCACTTTTCGTGCCCCAGGGGGCCCCTCTAGGGCACCTACTGTGAGCAGGAGGTGCACCTTTCTTCAACCCCCTTGTCTACTCCCCTCCCCCTCTGGCTCTCTCGTCCCCTGCCCACCCTTCTCCTCTTTCTCGTAGCCACCGTCATCGTCGTCGTCGTCATCGCAGTCAGAATAAATTCACTCATTATCCGCCAGTTGCAAATCACCCTCCGCCAACCATCATCACGACCATCATCGCCCTCACCATCCTCATCACCCTGGTCATCATTTGTAGAGTAGACGGCGCAGTAAAGCGCTACAGAAGCTGAGTCAGTAAATTGTCAAAGAGTCAGAAAGAAGTTCCAAACGAATTCCACGCGACCCCACACACATTCAAAACAACATGGAGGAACTTAAGAGCTCAGACCAAACGCCCACACAACGCTAAGCGTTCCAAACCATCTTGACATTCAAAGCATCGCAAGCAAGGTTAACATAAGCTTCAACTTCCAATGAGCACCTCAAGGCACATGCGGATAAAGTTCAACTAACGTTAAAGGCGGCACTCAAGTAAACCACATACCGAACATCATCTTCAAATTTCCTCTGTCGGTAGGGGTTTGCAGCAGCCTTTGAGGAATGTAGCGGGTGCGCTGCCAGACGAGGAATCGGGCGGGGGACCCATTGCCTCACGTGGCCGTTCGTTGCCTGACGTTGCTTCCCGTTGCCTTGCGTTGCCTCCCGTTGCATCCCATGCCCTCCCGTTGCCGTCCCTATACCTGCCCGCATCCGTATGCCTATCCCTACCCTTCTGCCTCGATCCCTATCCTTATCCCCGCTTGTCCCTACCTATATCATATGCCCCTATCCTGATCCCCATCCCCATCTCACTCCCCATCCCCATCCCGCATGCGTATCCCTACATATGTAGCCCTGTACCTACCTCTAGCCCTATACCACTGTTCCCTATGAATGATCACTCCCCCCACCCGACTGGCAGCCAACCTGGACCCATGTGAGCACCCATGCGCACCCCCCGCCACCATCCTGTTAAAAAGACAATGCAACAATCACTTTGCCTACCAATCTGGAGCATGCGCGGGCGCCCCGCGACCACTTTGCATTGGTTTTTGACAGGGACGACGGGGGTATCGGCGTGTGGCGTGCTGCGCGCATGCCAACACCTCTCCTTTCCTGGCAACAAAAACAACGCAACGTGCACTTTGCACGAACAACTGGATCAAGCGCGGACGCCCCGCGATCATTTTACCTTGTGTTTTGACAGGGACGGCGTGGGGCGGGGGGCAGCGTACCGACTGCGGCGTGCAATACCAACACCTTCCAAGAATCTGTTGCAACAAAAACTACAAACTGCACTGTGGGCCAACATCTGGATCATGAACGGACGACTCGCGCTCACATTTCCTCGGTTTTTGACTGTGATGGCGGGGGGCAGGCATATTGCTTGCTGTGTTCGGGCCCACCATCCATTTCAAATGCAATAACAAGCTTATTTTGACAGGGACGGGGGGGGAGGGCGGTATACTGTCTGCTGTGCCACTAATCCTGTCAAAAACAGCTGCAAAGCAATCGTGGGTGCAGACCCGCTGTCACGTTGCATTGGCTTTTGACAGGGACGGTGGGAGGGTCAACATATTGCCCAATGTGGCGCACCTCACCTGGAGCGTGTCGCAGCTGGCATGTGCGGCGCACCTCGCGGGCTTCGTGCACGTGGTGCCTTCCGCATTAGTTCCCGATGTTTTGTCTTCTCGGTCGGGCTCTGATCTGTCCACCACGAGGATGTCGACGGAGTGGGCGTAGGCGGTCACTCGCGCGGCCCCGGCGCCCGCCGATGTTGATGCTCTTCCTTCCATTGATCGCAACAAAGCTGTACACCATTTGGGCACCAAGCGTCGGCGAGGCTTTGCTTAAAGCAGCTCGCGCAAAGACGATCAGGATGAGAAAGGAATATGAGGAGGACAAATAATGGTGCGACAGGTGCTGCTACCCAGAACCGGTGCATACCCCAAAATCGGTCTGCAATGGTTCCCGATAATTGTCGATGGCGGTCCCTGTCTATGCTGAGACTCGGGTGCTACTCATGTGTTGAGAGGACGGGTGGGAATGAGCGAGACGGCTTGTTGCATGTGGTAGCTTGAGCCCTATACCTTACCTGTTTACCTATCCCTATCCCGAACCCCCCTCTCATGGTGGCCCCACAGCGTGACCCGCCATCGCGAACCCCCTATCGTGGCCCCCAACGCATCTTCGTAAAACTGTCTAAGGTTTCTGCCGTCAGGGCGTCATGAAAACTTCACCTTGATAAATAAAAGGACCAACCCTTTTCCAATGGATTCGTGATATCCCGCGGTCTCCTCAAGCTGCTTGGAATACCAAGTGAGAACCGAACACATGACCCAGAACGTTCCCGAAACATTGATTGACACATCGAGGCGTAATTCGTTGCCTCGGACCCGCCTTACACCATGATCACCATCACCATCACCAACATCAGCAGCAGCGTCATACCCATCAGAAACTACCTATACGACCACCCTTCGGGTGAGAAGGAGGTTCGGGGGGGGGAGGAACCAACGTCTCACTCGATCCGTCTCACTATCGATCTCACTATCGATCTCACGATCGGTCTCGCCCGATCGATCTCACTCGATCGATCTCACAATCGATCTCACTCGATCTATTTCATTCGATCGATCTCCCAATCGATCTGGCTATCGATCTCACAATCGATCTCACGATCGATCTCACTATCGATCTCACAATCGATCTCACATTCGATCTCACTATCAATCTCACGATCGATATCACAATCGATCTCACAATCAACGTCACCATCATCATCATAATCATCATCATCACCATCATCATCATGAACAGCATCGTCATCAACGTCATCAACATCATCATCATCATAATCATCATCATCATCGTCGGGGCACCATCGCAACCATCACCTCATCACCATCACCATCAACATCATCATGACCATCATCATCACCATCGGGACACCATCATCGTCACCATCACCATCATCATCATCGGAAACCACCATCATCATCGTCATTGGAAACCACCATCATCATATCACCACCATCATGAGCAACATCATCAGCATCATCATCATCATCGGGACACCATCACCATCAGCAACAACATCATCATCATCATAATCATCATCATCATCATCATCATCATCATCATCATCATCGCGACGCCATCATCATCGTCACCATCATCATCATCATCACCATCATCATCATCGGGACACCATCATCATCAACATCAGCAGCATCATCACCATCACCCGGTCACCATCATCAAAACCATCATCATCACCTCATCATCATCCTCATCATCAACATCGTCATCATCATCGGGACACCATCATCATCATCAACATCATCATCATTGGGACACCATCATCATCACCACCATCATCAACAGCATCATGATCAACCTCATCATCATCATCGGGACATCATCATCACCTTCATCATCATCATCACCTCACCATCATCTCATCATCATCATCACCTTCATCAGGATCATCACCTCGCCATCATCTCATCATCACAACATCATCAGGATCATCATCATCATCATCAGGATCATCATCATCATCATCATCATCACCATCGTCATCATCATCATCGGGACACCATCATTATCATCAGCAACATCACCATCATCAACATCATTATCATCGGGACACCATCATCAACATCATCGACATCATCGACATCATCGACATCATCATCA